AATTTTTGTCCTATAAAAACACAGCGATTTTACATGGTTCAACTGAATGCATATGAAGCCTAGGACAGAACTCATGGGTTCCTTGGAGACTTTCGAGTTTAATTATTACATGGTGCTGAAGAAGAAAAAGGACCAGAGAGAAAAGGGACTAGAGAGAAAAATGACCAGCCTAAGGTCATTTACCATATTAGTGGCAGAAACAGGGCTAGTTCTCCTGTTGAACCACACTCTGAATCTGTTAATATGATAATCTCATAGGTGTGATAATAATGTTCTAGAAGAGCATTCCAACTTAGTATCAGAAGATATGTCACAGAATGTAATCAAAGCAGAAGAGGCTGCTTTAGATGTAGTGAAGGTCCCATGACTGGAGATATGGTGTTACATTTTTGTAATCTTTACTAAAGTAAGGTACTTCTGAATTTTCCTTTCTTCTCTCTTTTTATTGTACCAGGTAATGACCTCTAGAGTGTTTTACCACTGAGCCAGGGGCCACACCCACATCCCTAGTCCTTTTTTATTTTTTATTGTGAGACAGGCTCTTATTAAGTTGTTTAGGGCCTCGCTGATTCGTTTTCTTAAAGAGAATCCCCAGAATTGTATAGGCTTCAGGCTTGGGTCCACTCCAGTGTGACACAGAGTTTTGAAGTGCTAGGCAAGGAGACCAGAGCTCTGTGGTTCCCAGTCATGGTACCTCTCTGGCCCAAATGGGCAGCATGGCACTTTGCCTGCTTTTTGTGCAGGGTAGAAAAGGTAAAACCACAAATGTTAACTGTGTGTGTTTTAAAAACCACCCAGAAATGTGAACTAACATAAATAAGTAAATTTACTCAGACTTCCTGTCCACGATATGGGATAATCATTACTGCATCTCATGGATATTGAAGATAACACATTAAAAAATGTCTCCAGAGCATCTTCCTGTTCATTTCCCTTTGCTACAACTTCTCCTTCTTTACAACCCCATCCCCCAAGTACTCCTGCCACTTGACCAATCATTGGTCATTATCTTTTTTGTACTGTTCTGTGTTTGTTCATGGGCTCACACTGTTATATAAAGTCTGTCTTTGCCTGGAAAAAGTTTTATCCACAAGGCCCAGGCCTGGTAGCCCCTCCTCTCACACCCCATTGACGACCTCCCTTAGCCCTGTTTCTTGTTGACTTTATAGAGACAGTGAAGGCTGATGTGGTCCATAGCTGAGTTCTGGAGGTTCCAGAAGACAATCCTCAAGTGTCTTAATATCTACCATCCCCAGCCCCTTTGTGTCAGATCATAGACACACGATTCTTGATGTATACATGATAGGGGTCACTACGCTTGTCCACTTTGCGAGAACGGGTGTATCCCAGGATGAGGCTGCCTACAGTAACAGCAAACAGGAACATGACAAAGAGAATATACATGTAGGAGTTGTCATCACGGCCAGGGAGGTTGAGCAGCCGCTCCTCAGTCTGGTTATCTGACCCTGGTCCTGGTCCTGGCCGGCAAAGCAAGTTGCTGTGAAGAGTAGCATTTAAGGCCTTCAGCACAGCATGCAGGCTCTCATACCACGTCTCAGTCCCATTGGTAGTCTCCATAGCAACAGAAATTGAGGCTGGGGGAGAATCACAGGATGCTATGATGGTGAGAGAAAAGAGGGAGAGGATGGCTTCTATTACCTTCAGCTTGAGTGACTTCCCCACTTTTCAGATCTCAGCTAGAATCCTAACATTACAGTGTACTCTCACTATTTGCTTACTTGTCTGTCTTTTCCACTACATCACAAGCTCAATAAATGCAGGAACTATATCTGTTTATCTACTGATATAGGTAGTGACAGTACTTGTGACAGTACTTCATAGTGCTCCAGTAAATACCTGTAGAATAAAACCTTCCTGGACCATTGTAACCCACATTAATTTCACTTGTTTCTTTTATCCCATATGTCACTGAGCTTTAGGCTAGAAGGGCCCTAGAATTATTTAATATAGCTCCTTCCATTTTATGCACAGGGAAACTAAAGCCCACAACAAATAAGTAGCTTGTCCATGATCACAGAGACTGAGAGGTATGGCCGAGATAAAGTCTCACTCTTGCAAGACCAACTTAGAGTTCCTTCAGGTCCCGTCCCAGCTCTCCATGGGACCATGTGGAACCATTAGAAGATAGGCATCAGAACTCTCCTTCAGAACAGTTCTTTTTATATAATGCATAGATGCCATTTAAAGATACTTAGATGGCTTAGATTTCACCTATTTGGAACCAAAGACTGGCTCATGGGACCTCTCGAGAATCCTTGGTGCGGGCTGGGGATGTGGCTCAAGCGGTAGCGCGCTCGCCTGGCATGCGTGCGGCCCGTGTTCGATCCTCAGCACCACATACAAACAAAGATATTGTGTCCGCCAAGAACTAAAAAAAATAAATAAATATTAAAATTTTAAAAAAAAAAGAATCCTTGGTGCCAAATACTAGGTATTCCTAGCTCTTTGGGGAAATTGTTTTGGAAAAGATGGGACTGGAAGAGGAGAAAGAAGGTTAATGATCCCTTCAGGCACTGGAGAAAAGGAGAACAGATCCAGCTGTGAAGGGAGTAAAATGTTCAGTCTGGTTTGGGGTTTACCTGCAGCACCTCAACTATCCTGCCTCCTAAAACAAAGGCATTACATACCTTGTTTACATTAGGTGATAATAAATTTTCCCTTTCCTTCTTCTCAGAAATCCTTAGTCTATTACAAAAAAAAAAAAATCCTAAGACAACTTTGCATCCTGTCTCTAAACAAAAAACAAACAAACAAAAAAACATGCCATTCCCATTAACTAGGTTTCACACTTACTTCCATCAGGAAGCCTTCATCCAGGGCTCCCACCCCTCAACCATATTCCATAAGTTTACCAGCTCAGCTTTCCCTTCCCCCACCATTTACATATAAGGCAATTTGTGGCTGTACTCTTTTTTTCTTTCTTCCTTTCTTTTTTTCAGTGTAATTAGACACAATACCTTAATTTTATGTATTTATTTTTATGTGGTGCTGAGGATTAAACCCAGTGCTTCACACGTGCTAGGCGAGTGCTCTACTGCTGAGCCACAACCCCAGCCAGTGGCTGTACTCTTGTTTTTCATAAGCATATCAGGCCACATGGTCCTATTTAGCAGGACTATATCTCCCCCCAAGTCTAGGAGACTACCCTGAGACTCATTTGGTGTTCTTTTTTACCAGGGGACTGGATGGGTATTCTCCTCTCAGCAGTTTCCTGTAAATATGTCTACTCTTAGGACTTTATAGCTCAAACACCCATAATTCACTCACTAGTTCCAAAGCCCTCCTTCATGTAGGTAGAGCTATCAATAAACCAAATAATGATAATTAACTGCAAGGTCTCCCTCCCAGAAAATATGATAAATATTGATCAGTGGTTCTTTGAATGCATAAGTTGGGAGGAAGAATCAGTCTCCCAGGACTAGCCCACACTTCATTCATGCAAGGGCTTTGGGACCCTCTGCCATCTAGTACTTGTGCTGTCTTATCTGGATGGAGGAGGGGGAAAAGATCAAGGGCTCACTCAGTTAAGATCTAGGAGACATAGATTCTCACCTACTACTCTTGACAGGCAAGAAATCTGTGTCTTTGCTTGCATGTGCCAGTGGCATGGAGGAGCATCACAATGAAATGAATGACTCAATGAATCACTTAGCAAGTCATCCTTTTTCTAGGCCAGGTCCTATGCTGGGACCTCAGGGAGACTTGAACCTAGTCCCTGCACTCAGAGGCTCATCTCCAGTTTTAAATGATTGGGGTCAAACCAGGAGCTACTGAGGCTTAAAAGAAGTAATGAATTTTGATCAGGGCTCAGAGAACATTCACAGTGTGGGAAGCATTTCAACTGGACTTTGAAAGATTTTTAGGAGGTAGAGAAGACAAGAGAAGGAAAGGGTTGAACAAAGTACATTAATGAGAAAGTGCATAAAATGTTTAGATGCATGGAAAGTAACATGATGAGGTTAGAGCATAAAGTCATGGAGGGCAAAACAGGATGTGGGACAGGAGAAACCGACAGGAGCCAGACCATGAAGGACTGTGAGTGACATGCTACAGAGTTGGACTTTATCCTGTAGTAGGATTGTAAGAAGAAAAGATGAAGAAGAAAGAAAAAAAGCAATCGTAGGAGAGACCTCAATCTAGAAAACTCACTAAATGGCAGGCAAACTCACATTTTATCCTTTGAAAGAAGATAAAATGATCAGATCTATACTGAGAAAAGATGCTCTGGTTGCTATGTGGACTGGAAGGGACAAGAATTGAGGCAGGAGGTCTAGTGATAAGGGTGTTGAAATTGTTTAGGGGTAAGATGCTGAGTCCTGGGTGAGGACAGAAGGGATGACTGGGCTGGGGCAGGAACAGATGTGGAGATGTGACAGTTGTCTGGAGGATGGAAGGGCTAAATGTGGGTTGAAGGAGGAAGAGACCTCAGACAAGTTTACAGGTAGACAATAGACAGCATTTGTGTCTAGAGGAGCATACTTTAAGGGAAGTATTCCCTGTTTAGCCTTCAGTCTTCTTATCTATCAAAATAGACCATCATTGGGAGTTGTTATAGAATGGGCACAGAATGTTAGTTTTGCAAGATGGAAAAGTTCTAGAGATCTATAGCACAATGATATGAAAATAGTTAACATTATCCAATACTTAAATGGTTAAGATGGCAAATTTTGTATTATGTGTTTTTTTACCATAGTTAAAACAATCAAAAAAGATTATCACCCCTGCCCTGGCTTCCCTAAAGGCTTGCTATAAGCATATATTTTTATTATGTTGAATATAACTCAATTTTTTTAGAAACAAATACATATATATATTTTTTTAAATAAAAGCAGTACATATATGAAGGTAAACTCTCTCTATTCCTGGTCATCCAGGGCTCCTTTCCAGGGCAGACACTATTGTTAATTTTCTTAGGTATCCTTGGAAAGGGGCTTTAAATGACGGCTAGAGGGAAGGTAACCTCAATCTAGAAAACTCACCAAACGGCAGGCAAACTCTCTGACTCTGAGATGGCTTCAGGAATCTCCTTGTGGATACCTTAAGGCTCCTTAATTGCTCAGTCTCTTCAGGATGTCTCTGGACATGTCTGGGGTCTCAGTATTGACTTTAGGCACTAGAAGGGGCCAGAGCTGGAAAATGGGAAGGAAGAAGAAACCAGACACACAGAACAAACTTCAGAACCAGGGTGGATCACTCAAGGCCAGTTCCTGAGGGTTGTGCAATAGTCTTTCTGTGGGCTCAGACCCCCTTCTAGTTCTCCTCCCCTTCCTGCAGCAGCTGGGTCAGGCCTGCCTAGGGCTGTACTTACAGGAACTATGCAGTGGCCAAGAGGCACCAGATTGCTGTCTCCCAGCTCCAGACTCACAATGTCTTAACTGCATGACTTCATGAAAAGCCCCAGTTTAATATATGGACTCCTGCTGTGGGATCAGCTAATGGTGCAGCTTAAAACATCCTCCTACCCAAGAGACTTTTAGAATCCCAAGGGAGTGATGCAAGTGGTAGAATAGTAGTTATGTAATAACAAATGATGTGCTACTGATCAAATCTATTTAGACAGACAGGGTCCAAATACATTCAATTGTCTCACAATTAACATTATTTGTGCACACTTTTCTTGGGAAAATTAAAGCAGAATATTATGAAGCATTGGAACCAGACACTCCCCAGATACTGACGGACGTTTTATTTTTATGAAGAAGAGGCTGGAAGGGCCTTCAAAGTCCATCTAGTCTAAGTGTCCTCATTTCATGAGAGAAATGCCTTGGCTCAGCTGCTACTTGTGTGACTTTGGGCATATGACTTCCTTTTTTTTTTTCCCTCTCAGCTTCTATCGGCCTCTGTAAAATGAAGGGATCTGATCAGCTCTAACATCCTGTGACAGTACAGATCACAAACCAGGCTGTGAGATCTTGGGAGACTGGTTAGACTGGTGGGAGAGGCACTTTGATGGTTTTTTAGAGCCCCTCAATTCCCAAGATAGAGAAGACTGCAGATGTTTTCCTCAGGTTAAGATACTACTGAGGGTTGTGGCTGTGGCTCAGTGGTAGAGTGCTTGCCTAGCATGTGTGAGGCATGGGGTTTGATTCTCAGCACCACATATAGATAAAACAAAGGTCCACTGGCAACTCAAAAAAATATTTTTTAAAAAAAGTCACTCCTGAGCCCTGGGACCAACTTACACCTAATATTCATTCCAATCTAGATAAGCTAAGAACCAAATCAATTGACTTGTTCATTTTCCCTCTTAGCAGCCCACCTGCTGATAAGTGGTCTAGCATGGGGAGGAGACATACTGTGTGCAAAGTGGTGGATGGTACAGTGTGGAGGACAGGGTGGGCTCTGAGGTGGGGTTCACTGAAAGGTGTGAAGATTCATCATCAGGCTCTCCTGCTAGGGTTTCTGTGGATAAACTCAGGTATTTGTGGTTCTGATGGGAGGAGCAAAGAGGCCATAGGCCATGGATTTGGATGGGGATGAGGGCCTGGGTACAAGGGCATCCTGTTTCAGTCAGGAGAGGCAGAGAGCTAATGAAGGGACAGGTTGGTTCTCTATGACCTGCCTTTGATTTCAGGTTGGGTATTGGCAGTCAGCAACACTGGGCATTTTGCTTCTCTTTCCTGTGCTCTTTGGCTTCCCTCTCTAAGAGAGCATCAATGGATCACCAAGCTCCCAAGATGGACCAGTTTAGAAGAAAGATTTTTAAAAGTTCCTGAGCAAGCTGAAAGGTATTTTAAAGACCATCTCCAGTCTAAATTCTAGGCCCAAGTCTCCATTTCTGTGGTTGGGGAGACTGATGCTCAGAAAGGGGAAGTAACTAGTCCAAAATGAAATGGCCAGTGAGTGGCAGAACTTGGATGAGAACCCAGGTCTTTGTTGGGCTGTTTTTCTACTTCAGATGACAGTGTTCCCTTGCATCTTAGCTGGATATTACACCAAACACTGCCTCCTCAAGGCATGGGGCATCCTCCCCTATTCTATTATCACTACCTTTTCCTATACTACATATTCTTGCCAATCTTAGTCAAGGATCCAGTAAGGGGGGAGTTGGTAGGTTTTGAAAGACAGCTAGCCTTCCTCTGTGGTCTCATTTCCCATGGCTGCTCTGCCCTAGACCTACTCCTGACTCCCAAGCACTCTCTGTCTACACTGTGCTCCTGCTATTTCCATCACATAAACAAGTCCTCTGTAAAAGTATTTGACTTGAGGGCTAGGGATGTGGCTCAAGCCATAGCGCGCTCGCCTGGCATGCGCGGGGTGCTGGGTTCGATCCCCAGCACCACATAAAAATAAAATAAAGATGTTGTGTCCACTGAAACTGAAAAATATTAAAAAATTCTCCCTCTCTCTCTCTTTAAAAAAAAAGTATTTGACTTGAACTCACCAGCCTCTAATTTGGGGTTTGGGGTACAAGTGTGATATGAAGGATAAACTTAGTGACATTTTCTTTCAGGTTTCTCTGGGGAAAAGTGAAACTCCACCATTGGTTCCTTTAGTTCCCCGTTGCTTTGTTTCAACTACTCTTTCTGGATGAGTGTCTTAAGGCCCTGGAGTTGAGGTAAAGAGAGGCAGATAGAAAAAGTGACATAAAGCAAATAGGAGATCCAAAGATAACTCCTGAGGTGTACAGTGTTGCCACTGTCATTTTGATGGTCTTGTCACTGCTGTAGACTGGAAAGCCTGCGGAGCCGGAGAAGAGTTTAAGGGTGGACCTTAACATCTAGTTGGGAAGAGACACAGGAATGGAATCTGAGCTGGAAGGGATTTTAATGACTAGGTTGTAAGTATGCACCCTCTTTCAACCATCCATACCTCGAGGAATCACTTGCTCAAGGTCTTACGCCTGGTAGAGGCAGGGATGGGACCAAAAATCAGATATTCCTACTCTCCTTCCACAGATATTTCCACCATAAGTTCCCTGCTTCCTATAAAGTAGGGTCTAAACTCTTCTGATTATCATTCAAACTTCTTTGGATAAGACACCGACACGGGCTCCATCACCCTACAGTTTTCCCAGTGCCTTGTACCCATTCTCTAAGCATTCCTTGCACTGGCACACCTCCTGCCTTTGATTATGCTGTTTTCTTAGCAGGAATTTCCTTCCCCTCAGCAAACGCCTACTCATCACCCTTCAGGATCCAGCTTCAATGTCAACTCTTTAGATCCTTCCCTGAGACACCTCCTTCCCTACTCCCTAGACAGTTATTCTCTCCCTCTTATCTATTCCCAAATTGCTTTGCACAAAGCATACTGTGCTGTAATGAAACTGTGTGTGTGTGTGTGTGTGCAGGTGCTGTGAGGTGTTGAGGGCCAGAATTTCTGCCTCATACATAACTTTATTCCCCACGCCTGAGGACACAGCTGGCACTCAGGAATAAATGAATCAATACCTCCTCTATGCAGGCATCCCTCCTCCAGGACACACAGCCTCGCACACACTCACACTCTCTCTCTCTGTATCATGTAAACAGCTTATAATACTTTTTTTAAAAAGAGAACCAACATCAAGGACTGGCAAAAACAGATTGTTCATTTAGTCTGGGAAAGAGAAGGTTCAAAGAAAAGAAGCCGCCTTTATCAGGTGGGGCTAATTAGGGGAGGAGGAATTCTGAGAGTCCTTTGGAAGTTCAGACACTTCCTGCACCTGAACCCCATTTAATCCAAATAGCAAACATTCTTGGGCCCCAAACACAAGCAGTGGTTTTGCAGTCTTCTTCCCTGTATACCTACGAAGGGTGTGGCTCTACACACCCACTACAAAGCACACACACTTAATCCAGGTCTCATTCTTGGCTTCTGATCTTTCCTTTCAAGGGTGCCTTTCAGATTCCAATCTTGGCTCCATGTTTAGTTTTGTGACCTTGAGGACCACATTTATTTCCTTTGAACCACATCTATAAAATGGGAATAATTATCCCTGCCCTGCTTACCACACATGAAAACTGAAGGAGACAACAGATAGGAAAGTGTTTTAGAAACTGTAAACATAGGAGAATATTACTGGGCAGCCTGGTCACACTGTTTGTCTCCAACTCTCCCCCTCCCCCATATTAGTTAGACCAGCCATCTCAATGCCACCTCTCCCCACTCTGGCTCTTTTACCCTCAGAATCAGCCGGGGGCTCTTATTACTCTTCAGGATTTTCAGAAATGCTTACCTCCTTCAGACCCATCCTTGTTTCCCACCCTCTCTGATCATTCTTGTAGTCCCTGACCATTTGAAGGCACCATTCTGTAAGTCTTGGAAATCAATAGACCTGGGTTTCTGCCTCCATTTTCCAACACGTCTAGCCATGTGTTAAGAACCTTCTCCCCTCAGCCTTGTTTTCCTCCTTAGTAAGATGGGTTTTCTTGTCTTCCTCTTAGAAGGAATTTGGAGCACCCACACATTAAGTTTATGAGTAGGAATATACTTTGAGAAGAGTGAAGTGAGAAGGATGGAGAATGTGTTGTTGGTTTTCATCCCCAGGAGTCAAGAAAATCTGAAAGCAGTTTCCGTGCCTCTAGCATGTTACCTCCTCCATTTGGAACTGGCAAAGTGGCCGGATGCCAGGAGATAATGAGTTTCTACCCTTACAATATCCCTTTGTAGGAGATTGTGGAGAGAGCCCTGGAGTAGGAGTGAAGAAACTTGGTTCTAATTCTCTTTGGATCCAGGTGTGACCGTAAGTTAATCATGTTGCCCAGGGGAGTTGAGAGGGGGATTAAGAGAAGATACTCTCAGTGGGCTCTCATGCTAGGGCTGAGCTTTAATACTTACTTACTAGATAAGAGATTCCAGGTCCAGGCCCCCCTTCCCCTCATGTCCCTTGGGTACTAGGCAATAGGAGCACAAGACCCATTTTACTGGTGGTGAACCAGGATAAGAAAGCACAAGGCACAGAGCAGGCAACACAACCTGCTCACTGAAACCCAGATCTCTGGACCACCAGACTAATCCTTAAGGTTACTAGCAGCAGCAGAAGCCTCTGGGAGTCCCCATGCTTTCCCAGGTACTGGGTTGGTCAGGGTAAGACACACAACCAAGTAGAGAATGAGTAAGTCAACTCTGCAAAGCCAGCAGTTCTGGCCAAGGGGGAAACACTGACCGCTGGAATGGAGTTCCTCGTGTACAGGAGCTGCGGACCAGGTATTTGCTTGCATTCCTATAGGCATGGAGGAGCTTTTATGCCACCCTCTGGGGGGCCTGGGAGCATGGGTGCAAGTCCACCCCTCCGCCCCCACCCCTCCCCCCTCACACACACACACACACACACACACACACTCCTCCCTCCCTCTCTCTTTCACACACACACACACACACACGCGCTGGCTTAGCATTAGTATGCAAGGTGTCCAGCTCCTCATGCCGCGAATATCTGCTCTCTGCCCCGGGAGGATCTGCTTGGTACTTAAGCTGCAACCCTTGCTGGGTCCGCACTCTCAAGGAGAACGTGTTTTGGCCCAAGGAAGAGAGGCCCAAAGATCTCGCTTTTTTTTTTTTTTTTTTTTTTTTTTTAAATCTCCAGCTGCAGCTCAGCTTTCCCAGCCCTGAGAGTGCGCCTTACCTGTCTCTGGCAAAGACCCAAGGGCGCACGTTGGATGAGGCGCCCTCCGCTCTTGGTGAGAGTTCTGCCCCCTCCAGGTGCGCTCCGACAGCCCCCAGCACTGTCCTGCGCCCTCGGGGCTCTGCGCTCCAACCCGCGCTCAGCTCCCTTTTCCCTTCCCCAGGGTGTCTCCTCCCCTGACCCCGCCCGATCTTAGCACACCCACTTTTCCCGGGGTTGGCTTCAGGCGCCTCCGCCCAGCTCCTTAGCCTCACCCTGCTGTGGGATCGGACCTTCCGTCCCCGTACCGTTTCCTGGACCTGAGGCCGAATTCCGTGTCTGTATTGTGATAGGCAAGTTACTGCTCCTTGCTGAACCTTGGCTTCCTGTCTGTGAAGTGGGTATGGTTCCTGCATATGTTCTTCACAGTCTTATGGTAGGATCAAACGAGTTCTCAGGAAGTACAAAATATGAAAACTGGAGGGTCACTGAGAAAACACCTGATTGTAACACAAATCCTTTTTTCCAGACAGGATACAGACCCCCAAATTGGGAAGTGGACTTGCTCATGCTCATCAAGCAAGTCAGTGGCAGAATTCAGACTCAGAATCCACTACATCCCTCTCCCTAGCCCCAGCAGGTTTCTCCTGCAGCCAAAGTTTCAGTAGGTCCCTCAAGCCTGACCAGCTTGTGTTTGGCACATCAACCTGTCTCTGTCCCAGAACACTCTTCATTTTCCAGCCATCAGGTCCTCATTCAAATATTATTGGTGACATTGCAGTCTCCAAAAAAAGCAGCAGTCAGGGACAGTCAGAAATGAAGGCCAGAAAGCTAACAGAGGGGGAATGGACAGAAACAAGGAACAACCTTTCAGGGACTCTGTAAGGAGCCTATCTAAATCCTCAATACCAGACCAAGGCCTTGCAATAATTAGTAACAAACTCAGCCTTTGCAAAGATCTGCTCTAGGATATCTGCAGTTCACAGAATCTCAAGATATAGTATCTAAGAAATGCTATCATTTAAAAAAGACCTACCACATGGTGGACATTTTGTACAAAATCTCTAATCTCCATCAAAACACATTGATTTCTGGGTTGTTTCTGTGGTCACATGTTTTGACCCAGCTATTCCTTCTCAGTCTGGCGATCTCTGCTCAGAGAAGTCATCCTGACCACCTAGCTGTGCAGTCTCAATTTTCAGTTTGCCTAAAAATCAACCGGAGAACTTGTTTTTAACACAGTAGACTTATTTATTTATTTATTGTAGTTGTAGATGGACAGAATGCCTTTATTTTATTTGTTTATTTTTATGTGGTGCTGAAGATCAAACCCAGTGCCTCACACATGCCAGGCAAGCACTCTGCCGCTAAGCCACAGCCACAGCCCCTCAATAGACTTTTGGGCTCTACTCCAGAGATTCCAATTCAGCAGATCTGGAGTACAGCCCAGAAATCAGCATTTTTAACAAGATTCCCAAACACTCTGATGCAAATGGTGTTTGAGACTAGCCTTGAGGAAATAGCTCTGCTCAGTGGGGTCTCCCTCCCAGATCCTGTCCAGGACTTGCAGTCATTCCTTAATACTACTTATTATAGTTAGTGAAAGTAACTATTTCTCCTCCTCAGCTACTAGATGGTTAGTTCTTTAAGACAGAGATTGTCTCCTATTTTAATACAATTTTAGAGTTATAGTTTTAAATTCTTACCAACTTAGAGTGCTAGAGTCATTTAGTGACAGAACCTAAGTTGAAGGACTCTTACAGTTTTCTAGTCAAATCTCTCACCTAATGAATCCTTTGTATTTCATGTTTAACATGAGGCTGTCCAGCTTTCTGGCAAACTTCAAGTAACTAAATTGCTTAGGGCCTCATTAAGTTTTTGAGGCTGGCTTTGAACTCACTATCCTCCTGCCTCCGCCTCCCGAGTGGCTGGGATTACAGGCATGCGCGCTGCTGCACTTGGCTTATGTTAAAATTTTTTATTTTATAAAACTTTTGTAACAAAAAAAAATTTAAGATGTCGGAAATTGAAAATTCCATGACTTGTGTATTTAAAATTCCATAACACTTGTACACAACTGTTAAGTGTATAAATCTGTATAACTTTTATTGAAGGCAATATAACAATATCTATTAAAATAAAAACATATATCCTTTGACTTGGAAAATCATTTCTAGAAATGCAACCTCTGTACTCACCTTGTGTGAAATAATACACGCACATATTTGTGTATGGATTCTCATTGCAGCCTTGATCTAGAAGCAAAAGATTTGTAATAACCTAAATGTCTTCATTGAGGATTAGCTAATTAAATTCTAGTAAATCACTCAGTAGAATACTTCATAGTTGTTAAAAGAATGAGGATGTTCTTTATGTAGTGATCTGAAACAATGGCTGAAGTACAGAACTGTTCACATAGTATGCTACTACAAGAAAAATGCATACAGGAAATACCTCTAAAGAAGATTTTTATCATCATTAGGCCTCCAGGAAAGGAAACTTCATTTATAGGGAAAAGGGGTAGGAATAAGACCTATATTTCAAACCTACCACTCTGCACCTTTTAAATTTTATTCCATGTGCATTACTGAGATTTAAAAAACTGATCAAAGATTTTCAAAAATAAAAAAATTAAGGCATTGAAATATATAATTATAAAAAACAAAGCAGTGTGGGACAATGTTTGTAATTTTATATTTGGTTTTAACCAGGTAATAATTAAAAGTACATACAAATATGTTTCTCCATGATCAAGTACTGGAAACAAACACAAGTCAAAGGATGTGTTAGATGAATGCAAGGATTATTTTTTCTTTTAACTTTAAATATTATAGTATGGTATGAAAAATATGTAGAGTACAGTAAACGAAAAATAGGTTTAAAAATCAAGTTTTGATTTAGATTGCAAAAATCTGATGTTCACCAGAAGATTCAGAGAGAGGCTTATACAATGCTGGGGGCACCTGGTCACGCTGCCAGAGCAGGTTCTATCTGGTTTCCTGCCAGCCTCACTGAAGGAACTCCATCTTGAGCCAGTAACTGCACCTGGTCACGTCCTCACCCTCGGCACTCGTTCACTGGGCCTAGACAATCTATTTATTTATGAGGAAAAGACTCTAAACAAACAAGAAGAGGATTTTTTCCATGGTGGAGGAGAACCAGGGTGTTAAATATCCTCCTTCAAATGCTCAGTTTCCTTCCTGGAGGAAGGGCTACAGTGGGAAACTGGAGTGGGATCCATCCTGGCAGGAAGAAGAGTCAGGAATCTGAAACAGTGCCCTGACCCTATGCCACAGGCCCAGCTTACCCAAACTCTGGCCTTCTACTCTGCATCCCCCCATCCCTGCCCACCTGTTGTTGGAGGCTCCACTCCTCCAGAATGCTAGCCCCACTTGCTCTTCAGATCCCAGACCTGGAACCTGAGACTAATCCTGCCCCTTCTCAACTTCACGATTATGGACGTCACTTAGCCTCTGAGCGTTGGTTTTCTCATCCATACAATCAATCAACCTTGCCAGGCTGTGGGATGGCTGAATGAGACAGACACATAATCTCTGTTCCCCTGCCCCACTTCTGTGCTACCTGCTTCTCTGTGGGAGGCCGTCACACTGAATGACCAGCATTTTCCTTCCTGTGATCGATAGAGGCTCTGCCGGTCACTTTCATAGTGATCTGGCCACATTCGAAGTGGCCACTGCCCGGAAGTAACAGAATGTGTCTTCCTTCATAGGCATGCCTTCCTGCAGCCCCATGGATTGAGCTATGCTCACCTGTTCTTTTGTGATATTACCCCTTTGCCCTGTTTGGGATAGAATGTTCCATGGAAACTCCCTTTGTGTGTCCCCATCTCTTGCTCTGCCTTTGGGTGTGGCCTTCCTAGATGTCAGTCAACCTACTGACAGCTGACATCACAAAGCTAGACTCAACCCCCTGAAACCTGACCCCTTGACTCATTTGAATGGCTTTTCCTCAATAAAAGGGACAGCACGTGCTGGCTCTCTCTTTTTGCGGACCCTTAAGGTCAGAGGAGCCATCACAGGACCCTCAAAGAAAAAGGTTTCTCTGTCTCTTGTGTGATTATTTAGCGCGGCCCAGTTCTCCTGGAGTGACCCTGAGTGTTTTTGTCACGAGGAATGTGGCACTTCTCTATCTCCTTGGCCTGCTCCTCCTCAGCCTATGGCTCACATTTATTAGTCATCTGCTCTCTTCTCTCTCCTAGAGATCCCGGACCTAAGCCATCACCCTCACTCATCCACACCGTACTCCTGATCCATGCTCCCTGCTTCTTGACTCTGTCCACTTGGATCTCCAATGAGTGTCTCAAATTTGATTTATCAAAACTGAACTCATCATCTTCCTCTCCCAACTTGGTCTTCATTCGGTGTTCTCCATTCCAGCATTACCTCTAGCATCCATCCACCCACCTGCTAAAGCCAGAAATCTGGGGATTTTCCTGAGTGGTATGCCATTACTCATAGATGACAACAGGAGCAGGAGCAGAAGCAGCCATTTTCCATCACGTAACCTGGGAAGTAGAGAAAGCTGGAGTGAAGCATGCATGAGGGGATGAAGCAGAAAATAGGAGAGAAAAGACTCCCTGAGTTCCCTAAAGGGCTTCATGCTCTGGTCCTATTCTTGAGTCCAGCTGCTGCCCTACCCTTGGAATCCATAAGACCCCAGAACCTTTTCCAATAACCTCTCCCCATCCCTGTCTGTTCTCAGTGGTTTTTTTTTTTTATGTTTGAGTTGGTTTTCTATACTTGCAAATATAAGAGTTCCGATTAATAAAAATGTATTAATCAGGATAGATACATGGTATATACACATAATAGAATATTATTCAGCCTTTAAAAAGAAAGAGATCCTGTCATTTGCAACAACATGGATGCAAGTTACATTGTGATAATTAACCTCCGCATTTAGGTGGGTTAACTCTTACATGTGTCTGTCAGAAGCAGGAGGCTCTACTCATTGCAGTCCCTCAGGAAGAAGTCACCACCTTTGGGGCTGGGATTGTGGTAGAGCTCTTGCCTAGCATATGCGGGGCCCTGGGTTCAATCCTTAGCACCACATAAAAATAAATAAATAAAACAAGGGTATTGTGCCTGACTACAACTAAAAAAACAAATATTTAAGAAAAAAAAAAGTCACCACCTTTAATTTTATTGGTTTATGTTCCAGAGGGAAAGAAAAATTGGTCCCAGCTACTCAATACTCCAGCTCAGAAGTTATAAGCTATCTCCATTTATAACTCATTAACCAGAATAAGTTACCTAGCCTTATCCAATCACAAGGGGGGCCATGAAGTAGAATTCTATCATGTGTCCAAAAGGTAGAGAGCCAGACATATTTGGTGAACATTAATAATTACCACACATTTCCGGCTGTCTATTCTGTGCCAGGCCCTGAGGTAGGAGCCAGAGATATGGGAACGAGTAAGCCATGGCTCCTTTGTTTTAGTAGATTTTTAAGATTTTCATTTTACTTTTTTAAAATATTTTTTTAGTTGTAGAGGGACACATTATCTTTATTTATTTTTATGTGGTGCTGTGGGTAGAACCCAGTGCTTCACACATGCTGGGCAAGTGAGCCACAATCCCGCCCAATTTTCATTTTATTTTTGATTGACATAATAATTGTACATTTTTGGGGGTGTGATATGGTATTTTGATATGTGTATACATCGTGCATTAATCAAATCAGAGTAAAAAACATATGCATCACCTATTATTTATCATTTCTTTGTGGTGAGAACAAATTTCTCTCTCCTAATTGCTCGAAATATACATTATATTATTGACTAACACCCTACTGTGTAAAAATAAAACACTAGAGCTCATCTAACTATAACACTGTATCTGCTGACCAACTTCTCCTTACCCTTCTTTTTCCCTATGCTTCCCAGCCTCTGGTAACTACTATGCTACTCTCAACTTCCCTGAGATCAATTTTTAGATTCCACATACAGATAAGATTATGCAGTATGTTTTTCTGTGGTTGTGTCTGATTATTTCACCTAAAAATAATATTTTCCATGTTCATCCATGTTGTTGCAAATGACAGGATATCTTTCTTTTTAAGGGCTGAATAATATTCCATTGTGTGTGTGTGTATGTATCATATTTTCTTCACTAGTTCATGGATTCTTATGTTGTTTCTATTTCTTGACTATTGTGAATAGTGCTGCAATTAACATGGAGTGCAAATGTCTTTTGGGTATACTAACTTCAATTCCTTTGAATGTATACCTAGTAGTGGGATTGCTGCATCACAGGTAATTCTATCCTGTAATTTTTTGGGAAACTTCCATACTGTTTTCCATATTGTTGTATGAATTTATATTCCATCAACAGTATGTATGTAATGGCTCCCTTTTCTTCACATCCTCTCAATATCTGTTATCTTTTATCTTTCAATAAAAGCCATTCAGCTGGAGTGAGGTAGTAATCTCATTATAGTGTGGATTTACATTCCCCTGTTTGCTAGTGAAGTGGAACATTTTTTTCATATACCTGTTGGAAGTCATGGCCCTTCCGAAAGCCTCCTCATGACAACAGTACAGAGGTGCTGTGATAGAAGGGTCCACCCTCTGTGGCATCTCAAAATAAGGGAAAGTCTACATCAGGAGTCAACAACTCAAATGCCTCTAGATGTCGGAAAGCCAATGTCAACAAGTGGGCTGGAGGAGAAAGAAGGGGTGGTACTGCAGCGACTGGAGATCGTTATACCTACTTCTCACTTCTCACTAATTGTCAGGAAGATGGCCCATTCTTAAATGTTAACAACAATTAGATACACATTCATAAATTCTCAAGAACACATCTGGGGCCACCAATAGCCCACGAGTGCCAGTTTGTGCCCCCAAGTCTAGCACACAGAATGACACTTTGCCTTGCTACACACTGGTCTGTCTATACCAAGGGTGTGATGCTCAGCTGTGACCACTACCCCTAATAGGACACACATGAGCCAGGGCTGGTGTGCAGACAGGTAGGCAGGATGGGGGGAAACTTTAAATAGTTCAATTCCATTTAATCAGTATTTACAACTAGTGGAAAGAGGACAGCCACAGCTCTACTCTTAAGGACCCTACTGCCTTGGGGGTGGAGGAGTCAGTTAAGTGATCTGAGGATAATTCTTTCAAGGAGATTCATGGAAAACAGATTATATTAATAATAATGATAACAATTTACTGAGCATTTGCTCTATGCCAACACGATACTCTGCGCTTTACCTGTCATTAGGTCACTTAATTTTTACCACTCTCTGAGGCAAATGCTGTAACATTCTTTGTTTCATGTAATGAAGTGAGTCTCAGGAAGGTCAGGTAAATCAGCCATTACACCACACAGAATATTTTCTCTGGTCCAGAGCAGGACAGGCTGTCTAATGAGAGAATGTACCTAAGAGAGCTAATATCTGGCACTATAAATGGGTGCTGAGTAAATTTTTGTTCTCTCTGGAGTCATTTAAGAATGAGCTGTGTGGTCACTTATTAGAGGTGCTAGAGAGGAAGGCCAAGTGTCAGATGGGTATAAACATGTTCATGACCTTCCAAGCGTGAAAATCTCTTTTCTTAAAAAAATAATTATTTCCCTTCTTGGCAGTAATACTGCAAGGTAATTATTGACTACTCCCCAACCTGCCCCCAATCTATAACAGTGGCAGTGGTCCCAGGAGTGGGAAACTAAAGGCTTAGAAAGGATATGAGTTAAATCATGGGAAGAGGAAGACAAATCATCAGTTAATTAATATTGACTGAGTGTCCATGTCATAAAGCATATTGTTCTGAGCTCTAAGTCTGTGCACAGCAGGAAAAGATGAGGAGAAAAGGTTTCCACCCAAAACTCAGTCCTAGCTTTGTCTTGAATTTACTGTGGGAACTTCAGGTTTTTCCTAAGCTTTGGTTTCATCTCTATACAATGGGTGAGGAGGGAGTAGAAATATACCTCTAGACTAATTTCATCTTGAACAACTGATATAAATTGTTTGCACTCAAAAATCAGATGTCAAAAGAAAGGCCTTGCCTTTCTTTTTTTAATTATTTAAAAAAATTTTTTTTTGTAGTTGCAGATGGACAGCATGCCTTTATTTGTTTAGTTTTTCATGTGGTTCTAAGGATCGAACCCAGTGCCTCACACATGCTAGGCAAGTGCACTGCCACTGAGCTACAGCCCCAGCCTTTCTTTTTAAAAGCAAGGGAAGCCACAGAATCCTGGAACTCAAAAGAACTTTTAGATATAAGTCAGTCTAAGGCTACCCCTGAATGACTAATGAGCACTTATAAAATGTGAGGTGTGCTATAGTGCAAAACCCATACCAGATCTCAAAGAGTTCATATGAAAAACAGTAAAATATCTCATTAATGTTTATATTGCTTTATATTAATTTTTCACTAAATTAAGATTAAGTATATTAAAACTAATATTACCCTTTTTTCCTTTTTTGTACCTTTTTAGTGGGGCTCCTAGAAAATGTCAAATTACAATGTGGCCTGTTGCAGTAATTCACTTGCAGGTCAGCATGGGAAAAGAAAGAAGAAGCAGAGCAAGCAAAGCAGCAGCAGCAGAAAAAAAGTCCTTTATTGTGTACAAGCAATCTTTTTATAGTATTGTGAACAAAGAAGGCAGCCTTCCAACATCAATAAATCAGGTCTTTCAGCTAATTAAACATAGCATACAGAAGTTTTACTTTCTAATCAGAAGTGACCCGCTTCTCATGGCTAATCTATTCTCAGCTCGGAGTATGTTGAGCTTGCTCTTTGTTAAGAACAGATAATAAAATTTTTCTCAGCGCCCTCCTAGCCCACTTGGCAGAACATCCCGTTTGCAGGCAAGTCCTCCCAAGGATAGCAGACACCTCGTTTTCAAGCATGTCGGCTGTTACCTTATCTAAACCTTGAAGGAGCCTCTCGTTTGCGAGTAGGCCCTCCCAAGGACAGCAGACACCTTGTTTTCAAGCATGTCCGCTGTTACCTATCTATACCTTGACAGAATATCCCTTTGCAGGCAGACTCCATCAAGGACAGTAATAGTAACGCAGTTACATCTGATTCTCTACAGTGGCCCTCGTTAATTTCTAGTGAACACTGGTCCAGGGAAAAGCTGAAGCCCAGAGAGAGGTTGTCTTCTCAGTCAAGGTTCTTTCTATTCTCAATGAGCTGTGGAAGCCATACTCCAAGCTGGCCCCTAAAGATCCTCATCTCTTGCAGCACCCCTGACATCCCTTTCATACTAAATAGGGCTCATCTGTTTGGAAACTGCAAAAATTACTGTATGACTTCCAAGGCTTGGACATAAAAGTCACAGTGGCTCCTACTTTCTCTCTAATATCACTTGCTTGGAGAAGCCACATGTTTTATCATAAGAACTTTCTAGTAGTTTCTATCAAAGGGTCCACATGGTGAGGAACTGAGGCCTCCTCTCAACAACCAGAATCAACCAGGAAACTGTGTGAACATCTTGGAAGCTGTCCTCCAACCCATCAAGCCTTCAGATAATAGCTGACATCTTTAATCCAAAATCATCCATAATACTAAACTAGAAACATCTAGCTAACCAAAAAAACAAATAACCCAATTAATAAATGAGCCAATGACCTGAACAGACACTTCTCAGAAGAGGATATACAATCAATCAACAAATATATGAAAAAAATGTTCATCATCTCTAGCAATTAGAGAAATGCAAATCAAAACTATTCTAAGATATCATCTTACTCCAGTCAGAATGGCAGCTATTAAGTAAGTGTTGGTGAAGATGTGGGGGAAAAAGGCACACTCATACATTGCTGGTGGGACTGCAAATTGGTGGTGGGACTGCAAATCAGCCTACAGGGACACAGCCACATCAATGTTTATAGCAGCACAACTCACAATAACTAAACTGTGGAATTAAACTAGATGCCCTTCAGTAGATGAATGGATAAAAAAAATGTGGCATTTATACACAATGGAATATTACTAGCAATAAAAGAGAATAAAATCATGGCATTTGCAGGTAAATGAATGGAGTTGGAGAGATAATGCTAAGTTAGCCAATCCCAAAAAACCAAATGCCGAATGTTTTCTCTGACATAAGGAGTCTGACTCATAGTGGGGTAGGGAGGGGGAGCATGGAAGGAATAGATGAACCCTAGATAGGGCAGAGGGGTGGGGGGAGTAAGGAGGGGGCAGGGGGTTAGCAATGATGGTGGAATGTGATGGACATCATTGTCCAAAGTACATGTATGAAGACATGAATTGGTGTGAACATACTTTATATACAGAGATATGAAAAATTGTGCTCTATATGTGTAATAAGAATTGTAATGTTGGGCTGGGGATGTGGCTCAAGCGGTAGTGTGCTCGCCTGGCATGTGTGCGGCCCGGGTTCGATCCTCAGCACCACATACAAACAAGGATGTTGTGTCCACCGAAAACTAAAAAATAAATATTAAAAATTCTTTCTCTCCTCTCTCTCTCTCTCTTTAAAAAAAAAAGAATTGTAATGCATTCTGCTGTCATGTAGTTAAAAAATAAAATCAATTAAAAAATTTGATAATAAAAAAAGAAACATCCAGCTAAGCTTCTCCCAAATTTTTGATCTACAAAAAATGAGATAATAAATGTTTACTATAGTTTTAAGTCAATTAAGTTTTGGTGACTCATTATGCAGCAAGAGGCAACCAGTACACAGCATTCTAAACTTAAGGGTCTCATGTAGGAACATTCACTTTCCTCTTCAGCATTTGTACAGTGTGAAAAATTATTATTTTTGTGGTGCTGGGGATTGAACCCAGGGCCATGTGCATGCAAGGCAAGCACTCTACCAACTGAGCTATATCCCCAGCCCAAGAAATTATTCTTGTTCTTCCTGTAACCTCTGACCCAGTTCAGGGTATCCCAACCCAAAACAGGGAAATTATCAAACTTGAAGAATCTAACCCAGGAAGACAAGATCCCACTTTTTTCTTTGATAATGCTCTTCCCTTTATTGCAGAAGGCACCCAGGTCTCTTGAGAATGCAAAAAGTGCCACATCACATCACTTTAATGTGGGCCATCCAGGGATTTGATTCCTACAAAAATCAATGGAACTCCACCAGAAATATTCAATTAGATACAGTATTAGGAAAGTAACAAACAATTGAGAATGTCAGTCTATGACATCTGAGTTTCTCTAGGCTGAGAAACGGGCCATACTAATGTTATACAGCATATGTTTCTTTTCATGTTTTCAATCTAGAACCTGAGGTAGGCAAAGATAATATAATTAAACTGCAACACATAAGCAGACAATGGTTCAGAGCTCATGATTTGCCCTTGGTCTCACAGTCAGTGAATAATAAGCCAGGTCTAGAACTGGGGTTCCAGTGACTCAAGTCAGATTTGGTGGTTTCTAAGACAGGGTCATCCTGGCTGGGATAACATGAATACTCTTCAGCTGGGGCTGTCGTCCGAGACCAGTGTGCATTTGTACGTCTCCTTAAAGGCCACAAGGAAAGATGGCATTATATCATCCACGGTGATGTGCCTCTGGAGCTCCTCACTTAGGGAAGTGACGCCTGTCCCAACCAGTCCGCAAGGTACAATATGCTCAAACCATGTGAGGTCCGTAGAGCAATTCAGAGCCAGGCCGTGGGATGTGATGTGCCTTCCACAACGAACTCCTGCAAGGCAAGTCAAAGGGTTTTAGAATAGATAGCCTCCTCTTCCCAGGTCTTGGGGTCTCAGCACAAAGAGGGAAATAGGCCAGATGACTGGTTTTCAATTTTTGTTTCTGGAGCTTGGATTGTGCACAGACTGGGGGACGGCGACTACCAAACCAAGCTGTCTTTATTATGGGGATTCCTTTAATAGAAGGATTATTGCTTTAAAAGTTTGAAAATTAGTGTCCTGTTTTCACATTGTGATTCACAAGTAATCTGGCGATTCACTTTTTATGTCTCTCCGCCCTTAAAAAAGGTGTTGGACTATATGACTTCTGAGGACCCTACTGCTTCTGGATATAAGATGTCTCTGAAGAACCTAAAAAAATTCAAACGCAGTAGCGCGCAGTACGGATTCAAAGCCCACTAGGGTCACCCCTGCTCCGCCCAGAGCTCTACCCTCACCTTCACGGGTCCAGCCCCAGGCCCCGCCCCGCGGCGCTCACCGATCGCGCAAACCTTGCGCTCGCCCAGCCAGACGCCGGTGTAGGGCGGGGGCCGCGCGCGGGCGCCCCTGAGGCCCTGGAGTTCGCACAGGCGCACGGCGCACGCCTCCAGCGCCGCCACGTGAGTGCGCAAGCGCAGGCCTAGGCGCCGCAAGTCCAGCAACGGGTGGCAAAGCAGCTGCCCCGGACCGTGGAAGGTGGCCAGGCCGCCGCGGCCTGTGGCACGCACCTCGGCGCCCAAGGCCTGCAGCCGCGCCGTTTCCTCCGATGTCAGGCCACCGCGCAGCCCGGCTGTGTAAACGGGCCCCGCGGGCTCGCACAGCAGGAGCGCGCCCGCCTCAGTCCCCGACGAGGCCTTAGTTGCAGGCTCGGCCTGCAGTCGCCGCAGCCAGCGCTCTTGTAGCGCCAGTAGCTCGGCATACTGCACGCGACCTAGCCACACCAGCCGAACCCCGGGTTGCGACATCTTACTGGCGGTGGCGTCCAGGACCCGGCCCCCTGCCTGGGCCGGAGGGCGGGGATTCAAGGCCACGCCCCGAATCGCTGTTCCGGAGTCCTGGTGTAAGCTCCGGAGAAGCTGTGTGATCAGAAGGTTCGGCGTCATCCATTCATTAGTTTCAATAATCAGTATTTAGTATGTGCTGTTCCTGCAGGCACTGTCCTGGGCGCGCGGTACAGGGGTTCACTATGTATGAGAAAGATCTGCGTTGGTAGCCGTACATTCTTACAGCAGACAACTAGCAAGTGCATTAAAGTATTAAATTACATCATTTCACATAGTGATAAGTGCTATGAAAAGAAAAATAAAACACGGTAATGTGGTGTTAGGTTGACTTTTTAGAAGATTCTAAGATGGAGATTACCTGCAGGAGGCTTTATGAAGGGCAGGAGAGGGTTGTCCTTCAAGACCATCACCTGTAAGGAGGATGATAGAGAGCAGGATTGAGGAGGAAGAAGTTGCACTTTGAAACAATTACATCAGAGACCTTAGCCAAACCCAAGGAGTGCTCTGAGCCTGGTATGAACCATCAGTTATTCCAAATTGAAGCAAGGAGTCAGAAATTTAGATCCTTGCATTGACCCACCGATACAGGCTGCACTAGAAAGGCACTGAGACTTTTGGTAAGCCAGCTTCCTTTAGTGGTGGACAGTCAGGTCCCAGAGAGGAACTCAGTCGTGAGTCATTAGCAACCCACTCCTAGAAGCTGGAGGAATCAATGATTAAGTTCTGATAGTGGCCCACAGCACCCACTGAGTTGCAATTGGAGTGTCATTTGAGCAAATCTGTTTAAAAAGGGTGGGGGGTCTGTTCTTAAACATTTGAACATTTTTCTAGGCCCTTAAAAAGTCACTTCCAGGTGCTGTCCCTGAGGCATACAAGATCTCTGTGAATTATGAGGCCACTATCCAAGAGAAGAAACCAGGACAAGTATAATCTCTCCCTCTCTCTTCCATTCCCCTTCTAAACAGGAAGGCAACCCCTGCACAGGGTGTGTGGTTAGATTCAGTATACAAGTGGTGGGGCTAAGGTAATGTAAACACTCAATTATTAACTAATCCTCATATATTTGGGAAACAGTCCCCAGGGGTGGGTAGGGCAGGAAGTGGTAAGAGGAAGAACAGAATAGCAATCGGAGTGAGGCTCAGGGCCAAAAGTTGGGAAGGAAGACAGACTAGCATGGGCAAAATAGACAATGGTAGGTTTCAGACCAGATCACAAAAGTCATTGTGAGTCATGAATGGCAGCACTTTGGTTGAAAAAATAAACATACCTTTTAGATAGCCAGGGGCTCTGAGGGAAAAAGAGGTTAGATTACATAAGGCCATGTCCCATGGTACCTAAAGCTTATAAATATGTTTTAGGTGGGGAAAGAAACTCAAAAGACTTGGTTTTTGAAGAAGATGACCTCAGTGCCCCAGCCTGAAATGTGTTCTGACATACAGGAGTCCTAAATAGGGAGGCCAGGGATCAGGGGTCATGTTCCATCTCCATCACTGTTTATTTGAGAATGAACTCTTTGCTTTATCCCTGGGTTCCCATTTTGCCTAGAGCCTGGCACCCAGTAATTCTCAATAAATACTTGCAGAATAGATGAATTATTTGATAAATAACTTGCTGTGTGTTCCTTGAATTGAGACCTTTTACCAAAGTACCAACCAAAAAAACAGAAGCATAGGATCAAGGTGGCCTCCAGGTCCCTAATGATCCCATGTTCTCAGGATGCAAGGACTAGCATCACCTGTAAAAAATATGCAGTCCATATGTTGTGTCCACAGCCCACGTATGTCAGGAAAATAGGGTAGGTTTCTGAGGCTAAAGAAAGTGCCCTGAGATGGCATGCAGGACATATGATTTGTTGGGAAAAGCCCGCCAAGAGATCAGCGACTGTTCCAAGAAGAGTTCAGTGGCAGCAGGTGAACAGATAGTACCTCCATTCCTCAAAGTGGTTTGCCAAGCAGTGGCTCCTGTCCCTCACGGCATTTTGTCCAGTGGCAACCAGCTGGATGAGTGATGCATATCCTTTCTACTAATTACTCTCAGTTTCTCCAGTGGCCACAAAGAGAGACGGGGGGGGGGGGGCTTTTATATGTTATATTGTAAAAGCAGTGACATCATCAGCATTAGTTTACCTTAGTTTGCTGTGTAACCAGCATCACAAGCAGCAATTATCATAGTGTACATGTAAGAGTAGCTTTCTACAGAACACTAACTTGACCTAGTTCCCATTGTACAAAGAGAAAGCCCATTTCCTTCAAGATAGTTTGTATCTGGACAGTCTGATCCATGCTCGCTCTTATTTTCCCCTTAACTTGGCAAGGTTTTTGGAAAAGGAACATTAGGCACATGGTGTTTTGCTTTCCTCCTGTAAGACTGGAAAACTCCGCACCACACGACACAGATCACCAAAGAGGTTTCCGCTTTATTACAAAAGGCTGTGTGTTTATATAGGTCTAAGGAGAGGTCACAGGGCTGAGGTAGATAACAGGTCGCCCGTTTATTGGCAAGCTCTTCCATTTGTCAGTTCCGGAGCGCAAGAAGTTAATTCTAATTGGGGCTAAGGCTTCCCACCAGCAGGGTTTGAACATTGGCACCTGCGGGAACGTTTTGCGCCAATGAAAGAAACAAAGAGGAGAAAGAGGGTCATTAGACGCCATGTTGGGTTTTTTTCTGGGGTGCTGCTGTCGTTATATGTTTTCCCAACACCTCCTTTTCTTTAAGGATGACACACTATGGCGTGGTGAATCAAATTTGTATTTAGCCCACAAGACTCAGCTCAGAGCCTGCTTCCTCCACCATGTCTCCTCTACCGCTACCTCAACAAATTGTACCTCTACTTACCAGTCTGCTGTGGTTATTCTGAGTTGGGCTTATCACCTCCATTCCTGACTTAAGAACACAGACTGATAACTAACATTTAAATAGTACTTACCATGTGTTGAGTACTCTAAAAGCTTTAAAATAATCAATGCATTTAATATCTTAATAATACATAAAGTAGGTATTACTATTTGTTTCATTTTACAGATGAGGAAACTGAGGCACAGAGTGAATAAATTGCTAACCATTGGACTACTAGAAAGCTTCAGGGAAAAGATTCAAATTTGGGAAGTTAGGCTCTAGAATCTTTGGCCTTATCAAGGACCCTTTCTTATTGATTTTTAAATACCCCACAGCATACATCCCATGGTCCAGCAATTAGTAGATGTGTGGTAAATGTTTGCTGGATAAATGAACACAGCTACAGTAAGCTAGGCAGCTGGGTATCAGAAAAGCATGAGGTTTCCCTGAGTACCAATGTGCCTGTTGAGCCCCAGAATTCCCCTCAAAATATGTGGTTTGTGTGTCCATCAATCCAATGAATATAGCTATTATTCTACCCTATTTTCCCTCACTCCACAGTGCCAGGGATTAACAAACAAATCTGATTTTGTCCTTGTCCTGGAGAAGCTGCCAATCTTGAGGTAGAGTCACACATGTCCACAGACAATGGCAGCACAGTATGCAGAATAGGGATTGTCAAGAAATGTTGCATAATCTATAGAACAGATTTTGATTGGGGTTCTGCCTGACCCTAGCCCAAGTATCCAGAGACAGAACAACCTGTCTCAGCTGCTAGCTACCCTTGCCCTGGGGATCCAGAGTTCTGTATGTAGTCTGAATCCTGGGGTTCTTGCTGGCTAACATGACCCTAGATTGAGCCACTTCTCTCCCTTCGAACTTTGATGCTGATAATTGACCTTGACCCTTTATACCAAAGCATGTGGTAAGACATAAGACTTGAGTCCTTGGTATCATTGGCCCTTTCTTCATCAGCCTCTAAGGAGGCGAAGATCAGACTAAACAAGGCCTGTGGCTAGAGCAACCACACTGTGTAGACTTTCAGCACTGACCTGATCTCAGAAATTATCCAGATCCCTTTCCCACCCCAAGGTTCAGGATAGGCAAGGGCATCCAGTAAAATAGACAGGACAGGAACTCAGGGCTCCTGACCTTTAGTTTGGTGGTTTTTGCATTATGGGAGAAGGCTGAAATCAGTTTGTGGGGCCCTTTCTTAATGGGTATTACACAGATCCCTATTATATAAAGCAGAATGGCTGTTTAAAGTAAGGTAGGGCTCCCAGAAGATCACCCTCTTGACTTCTCCCTTTCTGTCTTAGCCTTTATGTAAAACCTGTCTGTTTTGTTGTGTTTTTTTTTCAATCATAATCTCTCAATAGTGAGAGTCGGTCCACTGAGATCTTAAGCCCAGGTTAGATGGCCGCCACCTCCCTCCTGCTGGTATCCATCCACTTTCTTCCCCTTCCACACTGCAACCAGAGACCTTTCAAAGACCCAGTCCTGTCAATGCCACCCTCCTGTTTTAAAACATTCATTTGTCCATTTGTCTAGCAATATTTATTAAGTGCTTTCATCATGCAAGGCACTGGAATAAGCACTAGAAGTAGAGTGAATATAATAGTCTCTGCCTATTTGGCATAGGTAGGGGAGCCCACAAACCTATTGACAATCAAATAAATCACTAAACAAGGTGTGGCGATAGAGACTAAAACAGGAGGATCACCTGAGATAATGTCCATATGAAGGTCTCTGAGGACACTGAAGGACAAGCCAGTGTTATTTGGGAGATCATTCCAGGCTGAAAGAAGAGTTTGTGTGAAGGTGTAGGGTGATAGAATGAAGAAAATATAAGAAGTGGGCAAGGCTGCTGTGAAATAAGGCCCAAGAGCCCTGCAAGTCACATTAAGGTTATTGGTCTTTATCTTCAGAGCAAAGGTAATGCCATTGAATGGTTTTAACCAAAGCAGTGACACAGCACCATTTACATTTTAAAAATCATGCTGGCTGTAAGAAGGCAAGAGTGGAGGCAGAGAGGTCTGTTAAGAAGAGATTGTTGTAATCCAAGTGAGAAACAGCTGCCTGGGCTCTCAGGGAGGGTGGCAATGGAGATGGAGAAAGGGAAGAAATTTAAGATGGTGAAATCCACAGAACCAGCTCTTTAGTTGAGC